GGGGGGGTCCCTAATCCTAGGTAGGCATTACATAACATACATGCTTGCGTGTCTGTGAAACAATGCAATCAGGCCCGTCCTTGCTGTTGTCATGCTCATCCATCATCTTCACGAGTGCTTTGACAGTGTGGCCACTATCTAGTAAGCAGAACCATCCCTCTGGGTCCACCTTCGCGATGTTGTTGATGCAGACGATTGAAGCCGTGCATTGAACGCTCCATGAAGTTTCCTTGGTTATTGGGCGCTCTCTCTTGCGGGCCTTCTTTCGGACGCCTGCATCCACATGTCAAGGGCCCCAGAAGCGTGGAACCATGTGAAACTTTGTGAGATTATCTTGTACGTGTTGTATCTCCACTTTCAACCTTCAGCCCACCCAAAGGGTCCTGTTCACTGTCAGAAGCGGGCATCACCACCGGCACCCGGCACCAGCCCACGACTGCTGCCATATACAGTGACTCCTCGCTCATTGATGGCACCAGCAACCTGTCTCCACCGCGTGCACAGCCAGCTCACAGCACCAGCCCCAGCACCGGCGCCCGGCACCCAGCACCAGCACCAGCAACGTCTCCACCACGTGCACAGCCAGCTCACAGCACCAGCACCGGCAACCGGCACCAGCAACCTGTCCCCACCACGTGCACAGCCAGCTCACAGCACCGGCACCCGGACCAGCACCAGCAACCTGTCTCCCACGCGCACATCCAGCCACAGCACCAGCACCGGCACCCGGCACCAGCACCAGCACCAGCAACCTGCTTCCACCACATGCACAGCCAGCTCACAGCACCAGCACCGGCACCCGGCACCAGCACCAGCAACCTGTCTCCACCACGCGCACAGCCAGCTTACAGCACCAGCACCGGCACCAGCACCAGCAACCTGTCTCCACCACATGCACATCCAGCTCACAGCACCAGCACCAGCACCGGCACCCAGCACCAGCAACCTGTCTCGAAAGCGCGCATGGGCAACTCATTGTTATTTGAAGCCATAGCCTCGCTATCTGGGGAAAAACAGAACCTATAGCGGCTCAAAACCTTCGTTTCTGCGTCGTACACACAAGAAACCCTGAGTGCTAAGGCTGGCTACTGCTACAGCCCTCAAAGCGGATCGCAGCTGAAGAATCTATGAAAATATCAAACCTAATTCAAACCTTTAACATCATCTATGGCCCGCAGTTGCCCAAGTTCGATGTCCAACGACAACCTTGCCCCCTCTTTTCCTGAGCCACTCTGCAAATGCGCGCCGGGACAGCCTTCTGCCACCACTTGTGGATGCAGCTCAGCTTTAAAGCATGGAGTGGATATGTCACCACCGGAATCAATGCATCGAAAAGTGAAACCGACTGCAGAGAAGCTGTCCATCACACAGAAGGTTTCAATGGTAGTCAACGAAGTCGACGCCAACTTGTTTGCACACCTTCATATAGTTTCGACTCGTTGCCGGCAGGAAAACCCACGAAACACCTCCAGACGAAATGAAATCAAGCCACTGTGGCAATAATTCAACATAGCTTCCTTTGAGCAACACACCCAGCCTTCTGGATCATGACGGCTTGCGCGGCTTGCGCATCAAAGCCATCAAAGTCAAGCTGTGCTGCTCAACAATCTCGCAAGCCAGCATATGCCACTTGTAGTGTCACACACGGTTTACATCAACCGTGTCACTACACTGGTCACGACGAAGACAAAAAGCAGAGTCAAACCCGAGTAGCTCCGGGGCAGGGTACCCGCGAGGCCATCGGGGGGAAGACAACCAAACCGCCCGTCGCCGCCCGCCGCTCCGGCCACGAGCTGAGCGCACCGAACCGCTGCGGGCGCTTGCGCGGCGTCCATGGAGCAAGGTCCGGGCACCTCGGGTGTCCATCGCCGGTGGTCGCGGGTCACCCAGTCGTTCCCGTTCGGAGACCAAAAAAGACTATCGGCTCAAAACCCTGGTTTTGGTTTCGACGTCGTATAGACACAATCAGCTGCCAACCAACAAATTGGACCAACCAAACTCACCAGCTGCTTCAAAGGGGCGCAACCCCCAAGACATCATTTCCATCCATGTCGCACGAGCTTAGATCGCCCGGACCTAGGACCCACACGGACCGGACCACTGCTGGATATGTCCTGCACCTCAGGTGGCTTGGCGCGAAGCGGCGCGGGTGTCGCGAACGCGCTGCACACCGTGCGGTCCAGACGCCCAGACGCTCCGTTCGCAGCTGGGTTGGTCCCTCCAAACCTCGGGATGAGGCTCAACCCGTTCGACCCCTCCGGATTCGGGCCCAGCTCGGGTCGCGAACCTGCGTGGATCCAATTGAGCGATTGGGTGGGAACACCCCGCCGCGAACCCGTTCCAAGTTCCGGATCGGTCGCACGGGAAGACGCCCAGTCCACTGCCTCGACGCGGAGCTGGCCCGGTGGAGCCGCTCGAAGGCGCGAGCTGCGTGGTTTTGGGTGCAATGACTCACCTGTGAATGCTGTTACTCAAGCCCTGAAACTCCTTGGCCCATGAAATATGTTGTCGTGGACGTCCTTGTGACATATGGCAGCACTGTCTAGCTCATCTTTAGAAGGTTTTTGCACTAGCTCTATTGAATCTGGAAAGGGAACGAAAACATCAAAACAAACCACCATGGTTTTAGGAGATGAGATTAGAGGAACATCCCGAACGACGAACTAATAAACCAATCCGATAGTCGATAGTCGATTGAAGGGATTCGGCTGCTGTTGTTCTACGTCATTTGCCATTTCTAAGTGGGAATTCAATCTGGAACCATTGAAGTGGAACAATTAAGTACCAGCATGTACCAGCATAGTACTTAACAATTGGACATTGCTTGGAATTTGTTGGCAAACTGGACGTTCCATGAACACTTCGGACTTCGGATGAAACACAAAGAACAATGGATCATCTGGATCCTGTCTGGACCATCCTGGCTGGTCGTGTAGGGTAGTTCATGCAGGGTACTCCAGCCAGGACGCCCATTCATAGAGGGTCCCATCTACCAAAGACTCTCCACGCCCAAAGAGTTCTCTCAGCAACTTGAAGGACCCTTTAAAATCCGATATAAACCTAGTTTTGGACCACCAACCACCCAAAATATGGTCTTGTCCTATCAAAACAGAGGTCAAATGGGTTCCAGGAACATCTATAATAGATGTTCCTGGAACCCAATATAATATCCCATATGGGGTCCTATGAAACTAGACGACGAGTGGCCCGAATGCATTTTTCATCACGTAGGAAGTCAGAGTGCGAGTTATCTGTTAAGTGTGCAGTGTGAAGTGTTAAGTCGAGTGGGTTGAGGTAGTGTGTGGATCTATGTCCGTGTGTATATTTGAGCTGCCGGTAAGGGGAGAAGCACTTCTAAATCTTCCAGCTCCCCAGATACTCCGCGTACTAAAGTTGTACTACCAAGTCATTGTACTACCAAGTCACCAGTTCTCATCTTCCCACTCCCCAGATACTCCGCGTACTGAAGTTGTACTAGAAACTCGCCAGTTCTCAGCTTCCAGCTCCACAGCTACTCCGCGTACTAAAGTTGTACTACAAAGTCGCCAGTTCTCATCTTCCAGCTCCCCAGCTACTCCGCGCACGACAGTTGTACTACAAAGTCGCCAGTTCTCATCTTCCAGCTCCCCAGCTACTCCGCGTACTGCAGTTGTACTCCAAAGTCGCCAGTGCTCATCTTCCAGCTCCCCAGATGCTCCGCGTACTCAAGTTGTACTACCAAGTCATTGTACTACCATGTCACCAGTTCTCATCTTACCACTCCCCTGATACTCCGCGTACTAAAGTTGTACTACCAAGTCGCCAGTTCTCATCTTCCAGCTCCCCAGCTACTCCGCGTACTAAAGTTGTACTACAAAGTCGCCAGTTCTCAGCTTCCAGCTCCACAGATTGCTCC